CCGGACCCCGCATCCTCCCCTGTCCGGCCGCTCGGGACCCCGCAGCCGCCCCTGTCCGGCCTCCCGGGACCCCGCAGCCGCCCCTGTCCGGCCTCCCCGGACCCCGCATTTCGCCCTGTCCGGCCTCCCCGGAGCCCGCATTCGCCCTGTCCGGCCTCCCCGGACCCCGCATTCGCCCTGTCCGGCCTCTCCCGGACCCCGCATTCGCCCTGTCCGGCCCCCCGGACCCCGCATTCGCCCTGTCCGGCCTCCCAGGACCCCGCATTCACTATATCTGGTCTCCCAGGACCCCGCATTCACTATATCTGATCTCCCAGGACCCTGCATTCACTATATATGGTCTCCCACAGTACACACAACACAGAAGTGCAATTATTTTAGTAAATATAATCTGCTAAATACCTTTTCTCATAAGCAGTTAGAGCAATCTTGTGCCTTCTATCAGTGTTCAGCAGAGCACTGGATAAAGCTTGTAGGAGGAGTTTTCTTTCTGCTCTAGGAGGATGCAGAACCCCTAAACTCTGTCCGGACAATGCCGATTGGCCCTGTGCTGATCACACGCACTCTCCTAAGAATAAAAAACCTCTCTAGCAATACACACCAAACTGATCACGTTCAGAGTGTCTCACCAGGAGATAAGAGGGGGGACACTGGAAGAAGGGGAAGTCAGGATCAAACAGCGAGTGTAACAAGCATGCTTTACTGCATATACAGACTGATTTTACTGTTGTGGGTTTAAGGGGAAAAAAAAAAATTTTCTTGCACATGAACACAAAAAACAACTTTCTTTAACCTTCTGAGCCAAATAAAACATTCATTTTGCAAAATAAATCAGGATCTACTCCAGGGGCGGACTGACCATAGGCTTTTTTGAGTTTGGGCAAGGACACGGGGGCCCCATGATCCCCTATTGCCCGGGGGCCCCATGAGTTGTCAGTCCGCCCCTGATCTACTCATTAGGCCAGGTTTCACACCTATGCAGTTTGCTTTTGGTCCATTTCTATAGTGTTTTTTTTGCGGCATGTTTCGCATTTTTACATTTTTATGCGTTTTTCTTTTTATATGCTTTTTTTTAGGCCAATTTGTTGTTGAACAGATTAAAAGACGTAGAATGCATAAAAAAAAAAAATGCACTCCATGTTTTTCTGCAGCATCTCCATTGAAATCTATTGAACCAAAAATTCACCGTTTTGCCTTTTAAAAGTCCCTGACCCTTTCCAAAAACGTAGCAGCTGAAAAAAAAGCATAGACGTGAATGTGTCCCTTAGGAAACCATGGTAAATGGGCTGTAGTGCGTTCCTGCAAAAAACGCACAGGTGTGAACCAGACCTTAGGGCCCATTCACATCGGCACAACACGCTAAGGTGCGTTTTTCATGCAACAGCACAGGGCAACCCATTTACTCTGAATGTGGTGCCCAACAAATGCGCCAAAGCGGCTCCCGCGCCTTTCTCAGCTGCACAGCTTGGTGAATTTTTGCACCGCATGTAATGTCAAAAGACACCAGTCTGCCAGCTGCATTTGGGGTGCCATTAAGAATCAATAGCACCACAAGCATGTCGCATGTTTTTGCACGTTCTAGGAATGCGCACAGAACAGAGCATTGATGTTTGTGTTCCCGGAACGCCCGGTGTGATTGAGACCTTAGTAAGGCTGCATTCACATCTGCCCACTCCAGGGATATGCGCAGTCTTTTTTGCACGCATTTTGAGAAAAAAACGCAAGTCGCACTTACGATGCTATTAATTCCTAATGGAGCCAGCAGACGCAGTAAGAAAACACAGGAGCTCTATACCCGAAAAGATGCAAGAGCTTCTTTGGTGTGTTTGTCTTCTGTGGTGTGAATGGGTTGTCCTATGAGCGTCACACAAAAATGTACCTTTAGGAGCCACTAGGTGTGAATGGGGCCTAAATCCACCCCACTGGGAACATTGCGACCATTCAATTCATTTAAGCGGGCCATAGAGGACTCTTTTTTTCGCTCAGCCAGTGGAATGAACAAATAAAACTGAACAAATTCCTCAATCCACAGAAGTGAGGTAGAAAGAAGAATCTTCCCCACTGGGTCATTGAATTCTGACAGCAGGAGAATACATTGATCAGCAGCTGTAGATGATTGGCTGCATCAGTGGATCGAGAAAAATGTTCCAACATTCCTGTTCAACAGAAGTCAATCAACGGAACAATATTGTTGGGATCCACCTACCTGCCTGAGTGACAGCTGGATCTGCCTTCAATTGCATGGCCCAGAGATAAAGCCAGCCACACCCACCCCCCTCCCAGCCTGGTGCTGCAGTGAGCCCTGGAGGAGCAGATTTGGGGGCAGTGAGTGACAGTCAGTGTTCTCCACCCCAAGCAGCCTGAGTGTTGAGTGATTAGCAGTCATGAGATCTGTCAGCTCTCGATCTTAGAGCCAACATGGCACAGATTGTAGGCAAGAATGTATGTTTATATTTCAGTAACCCCACAACGCCTTTAAAACTGTATTAACCACTTCAAGTCCAGACACTTTCACCCCCTTCCAGTCTAAGCCAATTTTCAGCTTTCAGCGTCATCACACTTTGAATGACTTTTGAATTGTGCGGTCATGCAACACTGTACCCATATGAATTATTTCGCATTTTTTTTGAGACAGATACAACTTTATTTTGGTGGTATTTATTCACCACTGGGATTTTTATTTTTTTGCTATATAAATAAATTCTAAACATTTTTGAAAAAAAAAAAAGTGTTTTTCTTATAAAAGTTTGCAAATAAATAATCTTTCTTCATAAATCTTAGCCAAAATGTATTCATCTATCTTTTTAGTAAAACAAAAAAAATATAGAACAAATTAGTTTAAAACCAAAAATTACAATTTTTCTAAATACTTTTTTACATTTTTATATTATCATTTATTTTTATTATTTATTTTTTTAACATACAGTCACCATAGTGACACTGTACTTGTGGGGGGTGAAGAAGATATTTTTTTGTTTGTTTTTTTACAGGGATTGCTTTTATACCCATAAAGGCTGTAAAAGCAATAATTTCTCCTCCTTTCTGGCTGCATTCTTGCAGCCATTGAGAAATACTGTGAGAGCTGTGATTGGTCACAGCTTGTCACATGGTGCAAGGCTGTTGTGAATAGCCTTGTACCATATGACCTCTGTGATCATTCATTCGATTTTACAAGTAGTAAGCAATGATGCCAGGAAGTGACATCTTGTTTACTACTACTCAAGTGATCACGGATTGGCCAGTCAGTCATCACATGATCAGGATCTCACACAGAGGTCCCATACAGTGATTGGTGTTCAGACACAGCGGGCACCGAATCGCGGTGCCGCGCACTCCCAGGGAGCGTGCACAGGCAGTGAATGCGGGGGCTGTTTATAAACGGCCACCCGCTTCCGCACTGTTCCTGTCCGGCCGTTTATATAAATGGGCCGGACAGGAAGTGGTTAAACCCAAAAGTTAAAAACTTAACATTCTGCAGCTTACCAATCCTTCGACGATGTGGCTGCATTAGTTTTTCTTTAAGCTTTTTTTCCTGTTTTCACCTGGTGATCTGGCCAGTAACACACCTCCTGTGTTAGAGTGCCCCCATCCTGGATGAAGGAGCAACAGAGACACCTTTGGACGGACACGTTGTTAATCTGGGGGGAGTGTTAGATACACTAACAAATTGAAGCCAAACTCCAGGTAACACTTTTTCTGCAGTTACAGCAACAGTTTTTTTTTTTTTCCTTTTGAGATGAAGGTTTAAATAAATAAAAATGAATAACTGTGACAGCGTGAGGAAAGTGCTGCCGATAACTGGCAATTGTATTTACATTGTGATCTGCTGTGTGATTGGACACAGCTGATCACGTGGTAAAAGGCTGCTGTGATTGGCCTTTACCTCATCATGCGATCAGCTCTGTCTGTAGGTGTAATAGTGATGCTGGGTGCAATTACTAAAAACAAGTCATATACCCGCACACAATCGTCCTGCAGGTACTTTTACTCAGCATTTAAACCATTACATGTTCTATGAATTGTGAAAGACCAACTACCCAATGAACACCTGCCCTGGCACATCATAGCATTCACCCGGCACTCCAAGAAATAACAGAATCCATCTGCAATATTCTTCCACTGTCAAAACCTCCACTTTTATTATCACCCGACACACAGGAGGATATATCTTATAGTCATCACAATGTGCATAATAACACACACCAATAATAATGTGAGCATTACAGCATGGAATAGACACATCATTAGACAGCGTCACAGAATAGAATTAATACATTACTGAAGCTATGTGGAAGCTGGGTGGAACAAATCCCAATCGGAACCAAACTGCCCAGGGGGGGTCACGGAGAAGCCATAGGCGCAACCAGTTGATGAGCCCATATAGCCTTGGTAAAAATACCAGCGTCAGAGCGTCCTCTGGCCACTAGGGGAGCTTCCACTGGTCTTGCCCAGACCTTTGCCTTATAAACCCTTTTTCTGGAAGCAGTCCAATAGTGGGCGGCGCCACACCCACTATGGGAGGGGCTAGCAGAAGGGTTCCGCCAGGATAACAGTCATGTTCAACCACCATATTCGTTATCTGAAAAGTCACACTTTTGCTTCTCATCTACCCCAAAACCTCTTTTCATCTCCCCCCATACTTAAGGATTTCTAACTTCGATGTCCTTAAACAGGTTTTTATCTCCTAATGTGAGGTTACTAGATATCAAACACGGTTCATTCCATAAACAAGGTTTTATCTTGCTCTCAGCAGAACATCTTGTGATTCTGTTCCTTTGGCTAAAGAAATGACATCAAGTCACCTCTCACGCCCCTGGCATTTGCGCAACAATGCTTTATTGTACAAATTACCCAAGAAACAAAAGGGTCCAAGGCCAACACATTTCATAGGCATTACAGTAGGACACAGCGATCACGGAGAGCGCCAGGTGCACATGGGGGGCGCATTCTGGGAGGACGTCAGATGACGCCCTGCCAGAAATGGACAACCGTGCTCTGTAGCCATCATTTGGCTATAGCGCGGTTGGGAAGTGGTTAAACCGTGCAAAATCTGGTTAAGCTCTCCAATCAGCTTCCAGGTTTTATTGTCACTCTCCAGTTTTAGTAAGTCTCCCCCTAAGTGCCTGAAAAATGAGGATTTTTCACACCTGACAACCGTCTCCTCACCCTAATAAAGCCTGAAAAATGGGCAAAAAACCCCAGAAAACTTGAAAAATTAAAATAACACTTAAATGTGAATCCATGCTTGCGGAGAAAGTTACAACATATCTCTGGCCAAAATATATTTGTTGCCTTGGATAAAGTAGATAGACATATTTTTTTTCTTTTTCCTGTCTGTGACCCCATTGGTAGATTTTCACTAACTTCCTGCCCCAGAACAGGAAGTGAGCAGACATCTTTTAACAGAAACATAATGCCAATAAACACACTTCTTAGCAGGGAGGGAGAAGGTTAGCTTTTTATTGCCGTCTGTGTCTCCACTGGAGATTTCCTTTCATTTCCAGCCACAGTGTCAGAGAGAGGAGACAGAAGGTAATGGGAATCGCCACAGTGGAAAAAAAAAATTAAATATGTTGGCTAGACATACACTTTATGCGATAAACAACCTCTTTCAGGAGCTTCTATTCTTTAAAGGGTTACTAAACCCAGGACCCTGCATTCACTATATCAGGTCTCCCACAGTACACAAAACATGGAAATGTCATTATTTTTGTAAATATAAACTGCTAAATATCTTTTCCCATCAGCAGTATATAGCAGCCTTGTGACTTCTGCTAGTGTCCAGCCGAACACTTGTTAAAGCTTGTAGGACGGGTTTTCACTCTCCTCTGACTGTCCTATGAGGCTACATGATCCCTGACCCTCTGTCTGGACAGTGCTAATTGGCACTGTGCCAATCACATGCACTCTCCCAAAGAAAAAAAAAAAAAAGCAACACAACTCTCTAGCAATACACACCAAACTGAGCATGTGCAGAGTGCTTCCTAGGGCTCTGTACTATCAGCAGAGGAATTCGGGACAGTAGAGAATCACAGAAGAAAGGTTCAAACAGCTTTTTTACACAATGCGGAGGATTGACACCTTAGGTTCCACAGTAAGTATAACAAGCATGCTTTACTGCATATACAGACTGATTCTACTGTTGTAAGTTTAGTAACACTTTAAAGTCTAATACCTAGTACATACGATCTGAAAGTCGGATGAAAAATGTGGCTTTTCAAAGCGATTGTAGGATAATCTGAACATTAGTACACAGCTTTCGAGCGCTGATCACGTCAGTTGATGGAAAATTATCCGAAGGGACAAACACGAAAATTCCTCATACGACACCAGAGTGTATGATTTTCATTAGTGGTGCCCCGAAATTAAAACTCTGGTGCCGAAACCGGAACTTCAAAATGCACTTAACCGAAAATGAAATGCACAGTTTTTAAAAATGAATATATATATTTTGGAAAAAAATACACTGATTAACCATTTCAATACCGGGCAATTTTACACCTTCCTGCCCAGGCCATTTTTCAGGTTTCAGCGCTCTCACACTTTGAATGACAATTGCGCAGTCATACAACATTGTACCCAAACTAAAATGTTATTTTTTTCACACAACTAGAACTTTCTTTTGGTGGTATTTAATCACCGCTGAGGTTTTTATTTTTTGCTAAATTAACAAAAAAAGACCCAAAATTTTGAAAAAAAAACACGTTTTTCTTTGTTTCTGTTATAAAAATTTGTAAATAAATAAGTGTTCTTCATAAATTTAGGCCGAGATGTATTCTGCTACATGTCTTTGGTGAAAATAACCCAAATTAGGATGTATTTTTTTAGTTATAGAGTTCACAAACTATGGTATAGATCTGAAAATTGATCAATCCTGAAATACTGACAGCCAATCTAATTTCTTGAGGTCCAAGAATGTCAGAATAGTACAGATATCCCCCAAATGACCCCTTTTTGCAAAGTAGACAGTCCGACATATTTCATAAGAGGCATGGCCGCGTTTTTTGAAGTTGTATTTTTTTTGTCATAATTTTCGGAAAATGAAAAAAATTTAAAAAATAATTTTCACTATTTTTTTTTTTACATACTGTCACTAGTGCAGTACAGCGTCATCATATAACTGGCATGGTGGTGATCAGGGACACTGACTGGTGACAGTATGAAAAAAAAAAATATATATATATTTTTTTTTTATTATTTGTAATTTTTTATTACTTTTTTTTTAAGATTTTTTTTCATATTTTACTATGACCAAAGTAGTACAATGTTACCATAGTAACATTGTACTACTTTGGGGAAGTGATCAGTTTTTTTTTTTTTTTTTTTTACACAATTTGCTAATAGCAAAGAATTACTTTGCTATAAGCAAGCATTTACCTGAATGACATCGATTCATTCAGGGTTTTGGTTTTTTTTTTTGTGCTTAGCTGTGATTTGGCCACAGCTAATCACATGACACGTGCATGTGACCATTCACAGCTAAGCACTAGTATACAATGGATGGCATGAATGAAGCCATCCATTGTATACAACTGTCATGTGACCTGCTGTGATTGGTCACAGCAGGTCACATGGCACCGGCAACGGGGGCTGGTACTCAGATCTGTCATCGGCCGCGTCCGAGGTACACGGCCGGTGACAGATCGCGGCTCTGCAACCGCGCAAACTGCGCATGTGCGGGAGCACGCCAAATGCCGTGCACCCGGAAAGGTGAAGCATTTTTGCCGCCGCTAAACAGCTATAGGCTGGGTGGCAAATGGTTAAAAAAACAATATATACCCCAATTTTTTTGTAAAATATGAAAGATGTTACAGTGAGTAAATAGATACCCAACATGTCACGCTTTAAAATTGAGCATGCTCGTGGAATGGTGTGAAACTGTGGTACTTAAAAATCTCCATGGGTGATGCTTTGTAACTTTGCACTGATAACCTGTAGAAATTTTTAGAGGAGGTCTAGTGTGAGAATTATTGCTCTTGCCCCGATGTTCGTGGCGATACCTCACATGTGTGGTTTGAACACCATTTACATATGTGGGCATGACCTACGTATGCGTCCACCACTATGTGCGGGAGGACGGGGGCACTTTAAACTTTTTTTAAATTTATTTAATTTTTTTTTGGGGGGGGGGGGGGGTTTGCACTGTTCCTTTAAAAAAAAAATGTAATCACTTTTATTCTTAGCACAAGAAATGCATGCATCCCTTGTGATAGAATTAGTGACAGGTCCTCTTTATGGAGAGATATAGGGTCAATAAGACCCCACATCTCTCCTCTGCAATGTAAAGCATTGGATCAAAAAAATAATTGATCTAGTGCTTTAAAAAAAATGGCCAGAATGGGAAGTGACATCACTCCGGTCCTCCAAGGGCATAGAGATGTGTGGCGGCCATCTTTCCTTCATACATCTCTATGCGCAGCCCCAGATCGATGGTTTTTCAGGTAAAGCTGAACTACTGAGCGGCCACATGGCCAGCGAGGGGCGGGGTTTTTTCGGGCACCTGTATTGGTGCTTTTTTTTTTTTCGTTTCGGACACTGAGATTTCAGTGCATCCCTAAATTTCATTTAATCAATACAGTATTCGTTCGTTTAAAAAAAAAAAAAAAAAAAAAAAAAAAATCAGAAGACCAAGACTGCGCATGGTCAGAAACAAAAGAATACATTACATCACTTCCAAAGGTGTATTCTGTCGTACGAGAATTTTCATAACTTTAGTAACCTCTTCATTTTGTTACAAAATTACATTGCAAAAAAAAAACACAATCATTGTCTGATATATCGAGTGTAAGAGGCTTAATGGGCAAAATTCGAGATCTGGTGCTGTCCTGTGAAGCATCAACATAGCAGGCCTGAAAAAAAAAAAACAAACGATGTGTTTTGCCAATCACATGATATACACTGAACATGAACCAAGTAAACTGTATACTGCGCCCATGTGGAGGAGGATCTGCAACGTGAAAACTGGAAAATCACAAAATCGCCATTTGTAGCAAGAATGTTGCAGTTTCTGTGCTCCACAAAATAATATCTGTGCTACAAATATTAGCCGCAGTTCTCCACCTGGTTTGGCCAGGTGCAGATCTACGCATTGGGCTTCCATCCCTTGTAGAAAGGCCCTTCACCCTGGTTCACGCTAATAAGGTGTGGGAAAATGCAGCGAATCCTGTGCTTTTCCCGCACCCCATTGCAACTGCACGACATCCACCCGATCTCGTATGGGTATCAATGTTAAATTAACGACACCCCGAAACGGATAACAAAACGCAATGAGATTACCAGAATATGCATCGCATGGCTGTTCCCACCCATGCGATGTGAATCAGGTGGGGGGGGGGGGGGGGGGGGGGGAGGGTCATGCACTTTTTCGATTAAATTTGATCCATACACAATGTATGGCTCAAATCGCACCGCACAGACATCACGTGATTTGCGCAGAACATGCGGCGCAGTTTTTATGTGAATCATGTGCAATGTGCCGCACCGCATTAGTGTGAACCAGGGCTTAGAGTCACTTACCAGAGGGAGACTAAGCCAGGAGAAGCTGCTCCTTCCCTATGCCAAGATGAGTAGAGGAGGAGAGGCAGCAGCACAGGTTCCTCCTGATGATTGTTATTCATACTTCTGTCAACCCTGGCAATCACTTCCTATATATACAGAGCAGTGTTTTTTTGTTTCCCTGAGTCCCCCCAACCTCCCCCCCATAACAAAGTTGTATTGTCTGTTGATCGGACCATTAGTTCTTTTTTTGTTACCTTGAACAGGCCAAGCTGTCCAGCAGGACAGTTAGAAATGGAACAAACCGCATACTGGCAGGGGTGCCTATAATGATCACCTTTTATTAATATGACAAAAGAAATACTGTCACCTTGTCCACCCACACAGCGCAAACTAACAGTGTCTATGTAAAGTGAAAAAAAAAAAAAAAACACAGTAGCCTCCCTAGCGGTCTGATTATGTCCATATTTCTGTGCTCAAAGCAGTGAATTTTTTTCATGGAAATATGTATTTTTTTATTGTAGGCCTGTAATTTTTAAGAATAACTCACTGAACAAGAGTCTATTAAACATCCCAGGTATGTTAAAATTTGAAACACGAAATCATAAATTATAATTTAATAATCATAAATTTAATTAAATAAGATAATCAAACCAAAAACACTGAAAATTTGAAATATAGTTCGCACATCACTGAGCAAAGTCGCAAAATCGTTTTCAGTGTCTGATGACGAATTTCCCCACAAATCATTATCACTCAATTCTGCAGGTGGTTCTGATTTACTATCGCTGTTCTCTAGCTGATCTAAAACCGCTTTTGACCTAAAGGGACGCTTTTTGGACGCCATGGACGTTTCTCAGTTTCCAGGCAGAAAGAACAGTAGAAGTGCAGGCAGGACACAGGACAAAGCACTCGGGACAAAATGTATGTGACATGGTTTGATACAGTAATGTTTTACTATGTGATTTTAGTGAATTTAGTGAATGTCACTTTTACAACTTTCAAATTTCCCGCCAGATCTGTCCCCCATACGTCCTGACAATGCAGGGGACGGAACACAGAAGACAGATGTCGGCATCCGCCGGAAGACATTGCCGGGGACCCTGCGGGAGCGCAGAACAAGGTAAGTGCAGAAGAGATCTCGGAGCAATGCTGCAAGGTATTCC